TCCCTTTGGAATTAAAACCGGCGAGCGTCATGCGAAATTCCATAAATTCTTTATCATCTGAACGTCATACAGGCAACGTCTATACATCACCGTCGATGCGTCGATGCGTTCTCCGCGTCGTGGCGCGGAAGGAATTTAAATTTTGAGGTCGTGGAAGAGGTATGCATAACAAATTTTTAGGAAGCTTCAGAAAATTCTACTTCCAGAAAGAAAGAAACCGTTCTCCAATCGTTCTAATTGCAATCTTTTCGTGCAATCTTTCTTTCCTTTTGCACATTTTTAATATCGTTTTCTAAATTTTTATATATTTACAATTGATAAACGATCTGTATGTTTTTCAAATGTTAATTTATAAATAGATAGATATATACTTTTTTTTTTACAATTAAGTTAATTATACAGCGATCGCAAAATTAACTTCGCGATTATATTTTTTTCGTTGTCGGACAAATATTTCGTCAAATTATTTTGAAGAACAAAAGTTAACACTGTCTCCGTTGAGTTTCTAGTATCTCAACTGTTTTCAAGAGAAAAACTTGTTGACCTTATTATTTTTCACTTCATTTCTTCCACTTATATATATATATATATATATGAAAAGAAGAAGCTTTCTATCTTCTAGAGAATAATATTGGAAATTATTTATATGATGCAGATAAATATAATTGAAGATTTAGACAATATTAATTTAAACGAATTTAAGGATATATTCTATACCATTGTAACTTCGTATTTACAATTATTGTAAAAATCTATCAATGAAAGAAGCAACTTGTGAAATAAAATATAAATTTAAAAAATGTTTAAAGTAATGTGTTTGATCGAATTTTTTCAATAAATTTTCTTTCAATACTTAATACTGCATAATCCATATTGTAATTTCGAAGAAAACTTTTGCGATATTACTTTCTCGATGTTTATATAACTTTAAAAACTATATCTTTTTAAAAAGTTTCACCAAGGAAATTCTTTTTAATTGTAATCGCATCAGAAGTATAAGTGGGGGGGGGAGGGGTAAAAAATATAATTGAAAAACTCCTTAACTTCTAATCTTATAATAACAAATTTCTTTTTGAAACAATTCATGCTGAAGAATGATATTCAAAAGATACACCATAATTAAATTTAAATTCGATAAAGAAAACCTTCCATTATATCTTATTCTTCTTATCTTTTTAAATATTTCAATCACTGTTCTACTATTATTATCATTGTTAAAAAATTACTACAGGATTTCTTAACTTAATGAACTTCTTTTTGAACCATGAATATAAAAAATGAGTATAAAAAATGAATATTAAAAAAAAAAAACCTACTCAAGAAAGGTACCTTCCCGTATCATTAACAATAATTTTTAATCCATTTTCACGTAATATCGAGGAAAGTTCTCTTACGACCTGTCTCAACCTGAAATAAAAGGAAAATCCTCTGAAAGAGGAATATAATTTTCTTCGCTACAACGATGAATAATAATTTTTGATCCAATGTGGAATTACCAAGCAAGGTAAAAAAAATTGCTTCTCGATAAAAAATGTACTCGATACACTGCAAGTTTATACATTATATGTACGACCCATATTTCGCGAAATCGGAAACAATAGCGGGGCGCTGGTGACAAGACGCTGTCGAGCAGATCAAGCTTTACGATTCGCTGCGAAATGTTTCAGCGTAAAGGGATTTCCACGATGCTCACGAGCATCGTACATTCTCCACGAAAAAATGAAGATCTTCCTGTGCGAGTGTGTGTTACATATACATGAATGCACGCGACTCGCATAATCGAATCGGCGCGAGAGATGTTACAGAATTTTGAATCTTTCTTATTCGAGTGGTTCGTGAAAAGAGATGAACTTGGATAGGATGCGTTGATAATAAATTTAAAAAAAATAATCTCGAAAAATCTCGACAAAGATCCCAGATTAATTGTGAATTAATTCGTGGATATTATTGTTTTGTAAAATTTCTTAATACAATTGGAAAAATATTGGGAAAAATTTAATAAAAATATCGATTATACGAAACAATATTATTTTCAAATTTGTCTCGATTAATAATTGCTTTTTATTATATATTTGTAATGCAATGAAGTTAGTATTAATAATTTTTTTTTTATTATTACTTACTGTATTTTTGTTTTACTTTCTTTTTATTGATGTATAATAAAATAAAATTTAATTTCGCGTTTGTATTTATTTTCGTTTTTTACGTTAAATATTGCGAAATAGGGATAAAGTTTATAGAATGGAAAGTATCGTGACTGGATTAATTTTTGATGAAACCTTAATATCTTTGAATGAAACCTTATAAAAGTAATATCAGAATATAAAAATAATATCGAGAACAATAAATATACACGCAATAAACCAAGTTTAACAATCGTAATGATCTTCCGTGATAACTTTTAATTAAAAAACATTTCTCTTATATATAGATTGAAAGAGATTATGCAAAGGAGGTCAAGCTGAATCGATGAATAAATATTCTCCAGAGATCGATGTAACAGAAATTTTATAACAATATTACTTTTAATATAGATCTGATATAATCTCTATATATCTATTATCATTATTATTTATTGTATATATATATATAAATTAAACAAAATAAAGAAAATTGAAAAAACTATTCAAAAATAACTAAATTAATCATAAAAAAACAAGGAATTTTTTTTACTAACTTGACAATTAATACAATTTAAATTTTCAATAAATACAACTTAAAGAGATATTTCAGAAAATATAAATCCCGCTCTATTGTATATTGTTCTTCTATGCAGCTATGTTTTCTATACAACTATGTATCAAAATGACGTCGATTTTAGATGCAAAATAACAATAGAAATGATGTGAAAGCTTCATAAACGACTGAAGAGATAAAGAAAAACACGCCCTTGACGATACATTTTCTTTCTGCTCGAGAACTTAAATAGTTCTCAAAGTAAAAACTTCAAAGTAAAAAACATAACGGATAAGGATTGAATGGCGATCGTAATTCCAGTAAACACACTGACCTATATTCTAGAAACGTATATCGAATAAATAGATAAAAAAGATAAGGCGATGCAAGGTTTTTAAATTCCTTCTTTTCCAATATAATTACGATTGATTGAATGACAAAAATTTGTAGAAAAAATTATTCATAAATTTTTAATTTACATACTGTAAAAAAAAAAAAATAACTTCTTGATATTACAATAAATTTTATGCATTGAATATGTATATCTATCTGGTAACATTAAAAATGGATCGTTGATAAAAATCAATTGTATTTATTTATAATGCGGAAGGAAAACATATTTTGTTCTAATATTTTTGTAAACGAAAGATATACGGGTGATCAGGAAAATAGATAAAGAATTCTAGCGTGTGAACATGCAGTTAGGGCGTGTGTATGGAGGATGGAAAGTCATAAAGAAAAAATGTCAAAGAATAAAAAATTGATTAAGCGTAATAATTATTGCATATGACGAAGTTATTACGATCTTAAATCTTCCTTATATATATATTTTCGAATCATTAAACATAAGATAGAATAATGAAATTGCAGTGGAATATTTTAATCTGATATTCGTCGAAACTTTGAAAATTAATCTGATCTTTTAAATTTTCATTGATTGTCTATATAATCGAATGTAATCGATTGCGAATAAACAACTTCGAATTTTTAAAAGCCTAGAATAACGTGGGAATAATTTATGGTAAACAGGATGGAGCCAAGGATATTATTAAAAGAAAAAATAGATTATAAAGGAAAGTTAATCACAAGGCATTTTATGCAAGCTTTTTCTATGTCAGCAACAGTGCACTTTCGAAATAAAATGAATTTCAATAAAAATTCAAAGCGGGTAGAAACTCTCTTATTACGAGAGAAATTATCTTCGATAAAATATATTGCTTTCGAATCATTTTATCTCTTTATTCTCTTGAACAGATAGATATTTCCGCTAAAAAAAAAAACTAAGCTTCCTCTCTTTTTATCTCCATTATATACCGCTAATGGAGCTCAAGTGAACTATAATCTTCGAAGGAACGAATATTCGACGATAAACTTCTCGAATGACGAGCGAACTTAACAAAGATCAACGATCTGTTATCGAAATTAAAAAAGAAATGACGAGACTGAAGAAGGAAAGAGGGGAGAAGAAAAATGTAAAACTATGCTGATAAAATATGTTTAAAAAGCGTATCTGATTGAGAATTGGTCATGGCAAAGCGCGATAATACTTTCGATAATAGAATATCGATTTCCAATTAATCTGAAAAGGACGAACCATTGAATTTTAAACCGGGCGCACTTCAACGCCTATTATAATACGTACACACGGTGTATATGGGTTGCAACCTAGTTATGAGACCAGAAATTCTCAATGGAATGGAAACTCTTAGCAGAAAATCTAGAGGAAACTTTAATGTCAGAGTTTTCGAACACCACAACTCGGACAACTTTTCGCCGTAAAATTTAAAATTTTCTAAGCTCGAGAAATTTATTCTTTCCAACATTCCTTTAATTTAAAATAATATTATTACTCGACACGAATTAATTAATGTTACGTATACGGAATAAATTAACATCAGAATTATCGAGTCAGTTGATAGAAATAATTCACACATTTTTATGATTATTATGAAAACATGAAAATATTATTGGAAAAATTATTATATTGATTATATTATCACAATATTGTCATTTAAGATATTTAAATAGACTTATCACAAAATGATAATTCTGTGTTAAAATATTATTGAATATGTAAAATATACGTATGAATACATATTAATTGATTAATCAGATTTAGATTATTCGATCTTTTTTTGTACCACATTTTTTTTACACCCATTGACAAGTTCTAAAATTATACCCTGTGCAAGATGATGTTATATATTATATAGAATATATTCACCATGCATGTATATCACAATCTATGTATAGCATACATTATATTTTACATTTTTTTTTATATTCATTGATAAATTCCATATTTTATAAAATAATAAACTCACCTTCTCCTCCATCTTGGAGACAACATCCTCGACGGCATTCTCCGCCGATTTTGCGATGGCTGCAGCTGCTTGCTCCTTTCTCGACATATGGCCGCGGAAAGATGCCTGGATTTTCGTCGCCGCTTCGCAAAGCTCTATAGAGAGAGAGAGAGAGAAAGAAAGAAAACTATTGTTAAATTCAATGTCGATAGACGAGTTTCAGATGTATACGTTGTGTTGAATCTTGTGTCAAATCGAAGAAAAACAAGATTTCGAGTTTTGTGACAGTGAGAATCTATCTTTGAAAAGAAAAGCTAAGCTTGTAGGGAAGAAATCTATTTTTAGCATTCATGAAATTTTAGAATTTATTTCAACGTACATTCGAATCGAATGATAGAATAAGAAATAAAACGCACGATTTAAATAAGGATTTATATCATTCATTAATTTTTCTTTTTATTAAATAATTTTCTTTCTAACGTTCTTTTGAAGAGTTAAATTGACGATTTAACATCACGTTTCATAAGTGTTTAAACAATTAACGTTATCTTTTATTTTTTCAATGTACAATAATTCATAATATTTTTAATCTTCCAATAGATTTATATTTCAATCGCATTTTACACAGAATCATTTTACACGATATCTTTTATACATTTGGCAAATTTATCAGTTTTATTCTCATTCGTTTTTTGGAAAAATTTTTACTTACTCTCCATTATTTTTCTGTTTATTCGCTTACGAATATTTAGATATATCTCGGACGATTTCACGACAAGAAAGTGAAAGATAGTTTTTACGCGTTGTATGGCAATGGAAACAATTTCAACATGAGCTTCAACAGTCGAAATCAAGTTAACCACTGTTCATTTCGTTAAACCGTGTCGACCAGTTTGAAAAAACAATGGGTGACCCAGTTCTGAATCAATTCCGAATTCGGTGTATTGTGCGAATTCACCTGACTTGCGGTTGATCCATTCGCAAAACACAGTTGTTCCGAATTTGATCCGGCAGCAAATCTATTAATTATACGAAACCTTCAATTCTAATTTAACATTTTCTTCTTTAATAATTAAACATATCTTACAACGGTGATAATATATTACGTGTTAATTTTGACTTATTTAAATAATTTTAAATCAATTTAACTTATTCGTAAAGATATTTGTCTTTAATTCTTATCTACATTATTAATAACACTATTAATAAGCTATATAGTTTCCCAGAAACAAATACATCTACAACGTAATTTATCTTAAAGCTGGAATAAACTCTATCAAAATTGGGAAAACTTTAAACCGTTGTAATTCCGAGGATAGCGATTTTCAGTTAATGGATGAAGGATCGTTAGAAGCGCGGAACTTTGCCCTTTAAAACGCCGTTTCATTTATTCCGATACGATTTCCGGTTCCCGAGATATCGTCGTGCAAAGAAAAGGGTAATTTTGCGTCGTTTAACTATCTCCGTCCTTATCGCTTACTCGGACCTCTCGCTCGCACCTCGTCTCACTGACCTATCCCAAACTCCAGATAAGCGACTCCAGACGCGATTCTTGGAAGAACGTAGTACGCGTTTCCAGGAAAAATACCAAGTCAATGAGATGTCGAGCACTTTATAATTCAATAATTGATAGAGATATCGGGATAAAACAAAAATTAATTCAATGGCATGGTCTCCTCTGTTTCCTGAGTATGTTTTAATAATAAAATAATTTATTTCCTCTTCATGATTTTGTAATTTTGTAATTGATCTGTTGTTGTAAAATATATAGAGATTCGAAGATATTTATTATTCTTATATTTATATAATACGAACAATAAATTCAGAGAATATCTCAGATTCATAAAATTTTATGTTTTAAATAAATTTTCGAGTCAATTTAATAAGAAATATTTGATTTCTATTCGTAATTGAAAATAAAAGGATATAGCAAGATTAGGTAGAAAGTTTTTGATCGAAGTTGGATTAAGTTTATCCCCTTTTTAGTCCTTAGCTTTTAGTAAAGTGTAGTCTAAGCTACTTTATAACAGGGGATTAGTCTCGTTAATTTTTGGTGAATATCAATTCAAGTCTTATTAAGTATTATTTCAAAATTATATTTATTTAAAAGCTTCATTCGAAAAAATAATTTTATGCAACATATTAATATGCATATCTTCATAACTGTATTCGAAACTTTATATCAGAAATTAAGTGTAGATAAAAACAGTAAAAGCACGAAATGAAAAATAAATGATATTTAATAAATGATATTAAAATCGATATTTAATTATCAGTTATCGTAACATTAAATTCCAGTGTTTTCCTCTTTTTTTTTTTTTCACTTTTCAACCTAATAAAAAAATTTCATGCATATCATTTAAATATCGTTTTCTTTTTATTATTAATTTTTTATCAATTTCCATCAATTTCTACATTTTATCAAAATGCAAAAAGATAGATATTTTTAAAATTAAAATCAAATTTAACGCTTATATAATTTTCAAAAATGAAATAATAAGATTTTCTAACGTATAAACTATCTTTTTTTCTCATTATATTCCAATTAAGTGAATATATTATACAATGAAGATTTATTTTTTGAAATATTTTGTCTCTTTGCAAGTGTAAGTTAATGTTTTAAAATATTATTAAACGCGTAAAAATATATATATTCTTCGCATAAAATATAAGAATACGACTTTGATATTGTACAGTTAGTCAATCTTCATCGACTGATCTCCAGTCAGTCAATGTCTGAGAGTTAATTTCGCGTTAGCTATCCTTCGTCAGTCAACTTCTCTTAGTTTGCTCGATGTCAACCTCTCTATTAATTTCCTGCGAATTTGCTCTCTGTCAATTAGCACAGCCTGTCAGCCAACTTTTTCTCCTCGTAGAATTAAACGTTATTCGTATAATTTTTCTTCCTAGATTTTTCATTAATAGAATGTGTTCGTGAAAGAAGGATGATTAACCATTAAAATGCATTGCAAATAAAGCATTAATCGAATTATAATCGAATAGAAAATCGATATATGTATCAAATCCTTCAATTTTCTCACGAATTCATAAAATTCTGATCATCTTCTCTCGCGAAAGATTTTAGATTTGGAATTGAGCACAACATAAACCGTTGTATTGCCGCGTGTCAAATAAATCAATCCTCTAAATCCATCGGCCATCTTTCTCCATTGTAATCCATTGTATCATAACCCATCTGTAGCTTCATCTATTAAAGCCAAAGTTAAAAAATTAAACTTTGACACAAATCCATTGTCAATTTTTTTTTTTTTTTTGCATCAACGTGGAATTCTTTAATTATATATCATTTCTTTATTGCTAGAAATTCTGCTATTAATTTTTATGGAAATTAGGGTTAAAAGATATGCGCGTGTCTCTTCCAAATGGAAATGGTTAAACTAGAATCTAAGTGGTTTAGCTCGTTGATTTATTATGGACACGTTGATCCTCGAGATTAGGATGCCAAATAGTAATTACGTATGGAACACTTGGATCACGATGAAATAGAACGCAACACGTAATTGGCTAATTTTCGGCTGATAATGTACGATCATTATTCGAATGGCAAATTGTAGGCCAAGCAGGATTCATGGCAAGGAATTTCTCGATAAACTCTGTTATCGAATCGATTCTCCCTCGGTCTCGTTCCATATCACGTGTTACAAGTAAATGTTAATTGTGAATCGTGTTTTGTTCAACAGACTCGTCCAATTCGATTTCCTTTGATTAATCGAACTCGATCATGAATTGTGCTATGAATATAGAAAACAAATTATTACCAATTGAACGTATCTTCTACTGCTATGTTATTTATTTATCATATCACCTCAATTTATAGTAAAAATATATCTTCGATAGAGAAATTTCGATATTACAAAAATGTTAAATTCTTATGGAATGCGTAAAAATAATGCAAATTAATTCTTTCGTTGCACGATGATACGAAATAATTTATATTTTCATCGTTATACTTTTAATTTACATGCATTTTTTTTTATATGGATAAACGATTACTTGGAAACAATATTCCTCCTTGAAAATAGAATCTTTCTAACAATAAGTGGTATAGCCACCTGCTATGGATAGATGAATCGAACAAATGATTGCCAGTGAAAGCAATACGTGAAACGGGGTAATGTCGCTGTACGTGTGTTGAATGTCTGTGGAAAAAATTGTCTCGCGTATAGATTTATTTTGTTTTATCGTTACGTTAACATATTTTTATGATTTTCTCCTTTTCGAATTTCAATTTGCGGAATTAAAAATAATTGTGTTTTTAATTAAACGCAATCGAAATAGCGATCGTTTTTAATCCGAAAATAAATTTCCTGCGCAATTTCCCTACGGAAAGAATGGTGAATATGTAAATTTTCAGACAGCGACACAGATAAATGTCCGGTTTTAACAAAATTAATTCACGGCAAATCGACGAGCAAACCGAATATATAAGGTTTAACGATCAATTTTTACAAAAATATGAATTTTGAAATCGATGGTATAATATAAATTCGTCCGACGATAAACCGCCATAAATCACTCTTTTAATAACAATATTCACTCAAACAATTAACAAACTGTATAAAACGTATTCACAAAACTGTTCAATTTCTCAAAATACAAATTCTGCCATTTTCTTTCTTAATTAATTAATTTATCTCGTATGAAGTGACTCATAAAAATATCGCTTATTTTATACAAGCATCAGAATATATATCAGAATATTTTGAAATTTGTTTGGAAAGCATTTATGCTTTGGTGACAGAGCAATTTACAAATTGTTCAAACACTAAACTAATACAAACAAATCAATTGATAGATCTTATTTGTGTGAATTATTTGCACGATAATTTAACGATCTGATCCGTCTGAAATTATATTATGGATCAAGTTGCATGCAGAACAGTTTCTTAATAAAATTAATGAAAAGGGAATAAATATATATGTTTCGTCACATCGGGATAAAAGGCTATTGAAATCGTAGAAGGAAGTTATCTAAGATTAAATTAATCAAGTTGGGTGTGACAGTATAAATTTTCTCTGGGACCAGAGACAATTAGGCCAGATAATTAATCGTCCCGAGACAAAGTAACGAGGGACAATCGATTTTGCAAGCCGTCAAATTTTTCCGAAGTTATTCGCTTTATCTGGAATCGCGGTACACCCTTGACATTAAACGTTTCCATCAAGGATATCTATTGGCAGTGAACCTTTTCTGTGTATCACGATAAATCATCCTTGAAACGAATCTGTCCAGGCAAAATCGATAAGAAAACAAAAAATTATATCTCGTGATCTTACTTCAGATGACATATTATATTCCATTCCATGTTATTTTTATATTTTCTATTTTGTGGACTTCTATTCGGATTATTTAATTTAATCCAAAGTTCTTCTTCTTTTAATTTCTCTTTTTCTTTCCTCAAATTTTTGCAATGAGAATAATTATACCACCGGGTCAAATTCCTCCCGACCTATTCTCCATTATTTTGTAAAATGTTCTCATATTCGGTTCACGATGATACATCTTCTCTACAGTTATATTCGTAGAATATGTATATACGCTTTTCTATTTTACCTGAAGTTTCATTTCTATTCTACTTCACATTTCCTGTCATAAAGTTTCGAAGTATCGTATGCCTTCTACATTACGAACTACATTAATCTCTCAACGAAACGCCACAATTCGGCGTAATATCCTTCTATTTTCAATTCTTCTTCAATCTAAATTTTTTCATTTCTCGCAGAGGCGAATAAACACGTTCGCCTCTTAACTTTAAAATTAAAATACTTAAACGAGCAAAAGGAAAATCGATAAATTATCGCAAAGCATAGATTTCTATTTCTTCCTCTTGGAAAGGTGTGTTCACTTCCTGCCTCATATGCCTGTCGGATATAAAAATTGCCCGGGAATATCTCGGCGAGCCACGCCTAAAAATCCGGGTCACGAGGCGGTTCTTGGAAATCGTAAGCAATTTCTGCGGAATTTCCACGATCCCGAGTCAAAATTCTGGGAAGGTAAGAACCGCCAAGGAAAGGAATCCACCCTCGCCCTCGGGGAATTGCTCGGCGAGAAAACTGTCACGCGAGGGCCAAGTTTATGACGAGTCTCGTTTGCGGTTTACGTTTAGGGAACATTGTCTTCTTCGCCCACTTTACGAAGTCGAGGATCTGATCTTCTCGTGTGTATCAGGGCATCGAGGACGCGATCGTATCGTTTGGGAAAAAGGGAACAAATGAAACGTACGATGATTCTTGTCTCGAAATACGATTTTCCTACGAAAAGTATTTTATTTTTGATAGTTCTTGGTTGTCTAAGAGAAAAGTTATTATTGGGATATATTATCGATACTGATTGGAAATGTATATTTTTGTGAATAGAAATAAGTAGATCCAGATTAGGAGATTAGGATAATTTGAAGATATGGATTAATTCTCGGAAATATTATTTAACTACAGTGTTATATCTTATTTTCATTTCATCGTTGAAATGATGAAGGAGAATTTTACGCTATTCGCAATTTTATTTTACTATTCAAAACACGATATACGATCCACACAGAATTCCATTCACAACTGGCTTGATAAGATATTGGAATTACGTTATTGTGGTTTGCATAGCTAATAAAAATGTCAACTGATGAACTGATTGCATGAGAACGGAGAAATGTAAACATGCTTTTGAGCGTACATATCTGTTTATTACATTAAATATTGTGAACGATGATTAAAAGCCAAGTTTTGGGGGATAAAATGAATTAATTTGGCATGAACGTGCCTATTCATTACACGTTCGTTACACGTTCAGAATTACGCGAAATGTTAGATATTAATACCGTAACAACTCGTTGGAATTTCAACGAAATTCGTGCGAAATTTTTATAATTATACACTCAAAATCAAGTTTCCAATTTTAAATATTTCGAAACGTTATAATTTAACATGTTCATTGTATCATTTTCAGATTTTATTAAAAAACGAGATCATGTGCTGTGACACGGATATGAGATAATAAAAAAAAAAAAAAATTTCTGGAAGAAAGTTTCGTAGTAATCAAATTTACAATATTAAAAATATTTAGATAATACGCGAATATATCGCCATTTTTTAATTTATCCGCTTTAATCTATTCTGCATATTGGATATACTGTTTGAAATATAACGAATTAATTATTACTAAGGTAAATAACAGGGCTGCATTGTGAAAATCTTATACAAAAATACTCTCCATCCGTATAATATGTAAATCGTTTAATAAGTTCGAAATAAATTTTAATAATACCGCGATATTTTATATCGTGTAAAAACATTTTAACCTCGATTTCATTAAATTTACCGAAGAAGAGGAAGACAAAGAATTAAATCGCTTTGCTTTTCTTTTCGAAATCATATCACTAGCAACAAAAATTATAAAACTGATTAATTCACGATGAATATAAGAGACTTAATTTTTAAAAAAAAAAAAAAAAAAGAACATACATCAGAGAATGGAAAACAGGGAAAACATTCTATATTGGAGAGTTTTCGACGTGATATCTGTGATATGAGATTCAACAGAGCGTAAACTGGCGAGGATGCTTTAAAATTCAACAATCCCCCTCTGTACAATTTAATGCGGCAGAGGATCGCGCCAAAATAAGTGCAACGTTTCCTGGCACATCGTTACGTAAGAGGGACATGCATGCACCATAGAGTTTTATACGCGACACATGGACACGAGGAGCGGAGAGAAGTCGTAAATTCTTTGGCTCGCGACGACGGAGGAACGACGTCTCTCGAAGAGGGACGATCTCGAGACGAGATTGGCAGGAAAAGGAGAAATTCTGTAAAATTAAAGGGTTCCCCTTTGGGAACGATTTCGAGGGTTGGTACGTGACACTCACCCTTATCGTCGGCGCGGAACTCCTGCTGAAGTTGTTCCTTGGTTGGCTCTGAGTTTGATTTGGTCCCCGTCTGCTTCGTCGAGGATTCAATATCTTTCATACTCTTCCTGGCGTGGTGGCCGCGGAACGCCGCCTGTATCCTCGTCGCGGCTTTCTCCCTCTCCTTCTCCGTGTCCTCTCCTTTCTTCTCCTCCCCCTTCGACTCCGCCTCCTTTTTCTCTTTCGAATCTCCTGCCGATCTTTTCTGCGAAGAAGATTCTTGCGAATCTACTTTCGCCGGACTGCTCTCTCCTTTCGTGATATCTGAAAATTCACGGCTGTCAGTGTTGAACAGGAGGAAAGTTGTGAATAATTCTTCTTTTTATAATAATTTTCAATATGTATTAAAATATTGTAAGATATTATTATAAACCTTAAAACAATATATTTATTTGGTATAATTGGTATGATTTAATCGAATTTACGGATCTCGTGATTAAGATATTAATTCGAAGCGTAAAATTTGTCGAACTTTATACAAATATTCGTATTATTCGGTGTGTGCAATCCTTTCAAGTGTGCGTGAGCGTGATATCGTTCGCCGAGAGATTTAATCATAGACATCGAAATGCACGTACGAGTACGTTATTCTCTTTGAGGCTGAGTTTCGCATGGTTGTCTTGATTAAACTTTAGCTTTCGTTCCTTTGAGAATTGCCGCTACCTAGATACTGCTAGAATTCTAAATTTCTCTATACAACATCGTGCAAGAAATTTACGAGAGTTTTAATTATTGAAAGATTGTATGTGTACACAGACATATATACGCACGAGGAATTCTTTCAATTCTTTGAATGTTTAAATATTAAGAAATGGTATTAAGAAATAATTGGTTGGAAGGAAAAATTTATGAATGCATCAAAAAAAAAAAGGAGAAATTGAACCAACGCGTTAAAAACTTTTATCAATCTTATCAAGATTTATATAATATAATTTACATTATTCTTTTAATTTTTTAAAATTCTACAAAAATTAAAACCTTTGCATCGTTATCCAATTTTTTGTTAAAAAGTTTTTTTCGTGACAAAAGCAAAATTTCATTTGCGACCGAAAGGGACACAAAAGGGAAGTAAATTATTTTTTTTTTTATTAAAATCCAGGTCATCCTCGTATCGTACTCTAATCAAATACAAAAATGGAAAAAGAAACTTTAACGTAATCCTGTCTTTTCTAACACGACGCAGCTAATTCGCCTGCCAGGCTTGCGTAGGCGTATCTCCGTGGCTCGCACCAACTTCTAAATCTTTGTTTAAATGAAGAGCATGTATCTTAAACAGGTATCATAAACGTGACAAGAAAGAAAGAAAGGGAGGGAGGGAAAAAGAGAGTATAACTCCCGTTGGTATTACAGTGATAACAAAGAGGACAATGAATCATTGCTGGCACACCGTTAGTGACACGTATACACTTTGCATGAATGTGCAAGTTACGCGAGTATAATTACTGGTTTAGTGCAGGACCTATTTTCAAGGTGCATCGCCTTTTCTCGCCGGTTCATGCCTCAAGGAACCTCTTTCGACCTCCCCCAAAAAAGGAAAAAAACGGTGTGTGATAAACCCGAAGAAAAGAGAACCACAGCTGTACCACGTACGAATTAAAAATTTAAAAAAAGGGAGAAAAAATTTATGAAAGCGATGCTTCCGACCTGATTTCGGGACAATTTTTTCGAAACACAGAAACTCTTGGAGAGATATTTTAAAGGGACGGGGTAGTTTGAAATATTTAATCAAATTATTACCAACTCGCAAAGTTTTTTTTTATTTATTCGTGCATCGAGTATATAATTTCATCTGAGAATTCTTACAATGAAATGAAAGAACGTTAAACGATCAATTATACGTTCAAAATGTTTATCTCGCATTAAGAGAGAGAGAGAGAGAGCATTTGAAGCACTTTCAAGATGTTAATTTCATTAAAAAATGATATTCCAAAAGTACAACTCGTTATACGTCTACGTTGAAAACAAAATTAACAAGATGTAAGATGTACGACTTAATACTCATACTCTCTTTAACGTTCGTCAAAAACTGTTCATCAAAAGTGACTGAAAGAACTCGATACTCGATATATTTCTACATTAATGAAAGAGTGATACGTAAATAGTCACTCTGTCAAGAGTATCGATAGTCGTCGTAAAATGAAAAACGCAGTGGATTACAAAATTGCCATTGACGAGATAATTATCGATGATTAAACGCTGTTTATTCGAAAGCAAACGAAATTATTCGAAATTATAAAAAATTTACAATATCGACTTTTCTTTATTCCTTCCTTTTTTTTATCGCTAAAAACACGAAGGAAATTCACTAAATGCAAATGTAAAAACGTCGAAACGTTTGGGGATGGAAAAATAATGGAGGAAAATTTCCCCGAAAAGTTGAACGACATGCAATTTTTCATTTTGCTTAACAAGGATGAAAATATCTTAATCGATGATTTCATGATTAATTCAACGAGACCGATTTATTTCTAGAAATGAAACAAATAAAATTTACTTCGTATCGAATTTAATCCTAAATATTGCATTTGTCATTACACTAACGCGTTTGGTTTAACAAATTGTTCAAATTGAAATGGATTAATTTTATTTATATATTCATAATATATTGTATCACCGTGGAAAATTACAATTATAAATAATAGAAAGGCGTGAAACTTAATACAAGTTTAACGTTCAATTAAAACAAAGATCAAGATTGGATATGATAGTTGTGAAACAACTTTTGGATCAAGAGAGTAATAAGGGTTGTTAATTGACTTTTTCAAGTCTCACCTTCGAATTCACAGTTTTTGCAAGGTCAACACGCGATAATCAAAGTATCACAATTTCGAAACTCTGGCTTCGACGATTAAGAGAAGCAAGCTGACGATCGTTAAGAATGGAAAGTGAGATTCGTAGCGCCATGTTGTAATGAAAAGAAAATTAGTCAAACAACCGAGGGATAATTGTGAGAAATAAGGTTTTATCGGGGAGCTAATTGACTTCGTGTTTCAATTTCTACTATCGTGAGCATCTGTAACCAACTTTGACGATCGATTTCGTATTCCATTTCAATTTTTGCGTGCTCTCGCAGTTTCACGATGAATATTTTAAATTCATGTTTACTTTATATAGATATTAATCCAACTCGGTATCATCGTCAAGGTGTGAAGAAAATTATAAATTTACAAGTTAATTATTTGTAAGTGAACTTATTTAACAACATGAATTTAAAAAGTTCAATTATGTAAAATAATTACTCGTGACTGCTGTATAGAAATTAATTAACTTTGTTATTACATCATTCAAATTAATATCCTCGCCAAACATTAAGAATTGAGAATCGTAGTGGCGTTATAACCTAACCGATAGAAAATGGAACTAATTTTATATTATTCCAACCCTGTACAAGCTGTTTTAACACGTACAATTACACATATACATTAAAGCTAACACATTACTGCACCCAGAATATAAAAGCAAACAAAAGCATACCTTAATTACTTAAAACGTTAATTTCTCTTGGAATATTTTTACCCTTCACCTATATTCCTCGTTGGCAAACGATGACGATGAGTCAATTTCATTCGCTAAACGATCCCTTCCACAAAATTGTACATCACTAAGGAAAAAGCTGAGAGCATAAATCCCTAGCGACGATATACGATTCTGCACGTTCTCAATCGAAATATATTCACTGTAAAATATTTTTCCAGCCAAGAATCGATGTCACGCTTTTGTGCCACCCATCATTCTGAACGAAACGATACATCTTCGATGACGAAAAAGAAAAAAAAAAAAAAAAAGCGAAGAGTAGCCATTGAATGGCAACGCGTCCATCGTTACCGTTTTCGATCGTGAACCTTTTTTTTTTCCTTTTTCCCTTTCATTTTCGCATTCCAGTGTCCCACATTATTCCTCGAGTCGTTCTCGAGGCACGTCGAATGGCTGGGAATCCCGTAACTTTTAATGAAGATAAACGCAGTCTAGTTTACTGGAATTTCCCGAAAGATAAAGTAAAACGCGTCCAATGTGCATAAGTGTACGGTTCCGCGAATGGAAGGACCAACGATTTCCGATAAAATACTCGGTAATTGCAGCGATTCTCTGATATTAATGCCACGTAAAAATGGATGGTAACGTTGCCACGAATCATAAATGGATAAAGATATTTTCGAATTTTTAATCTGGTGATTGTGAACTTAATAATCGGATTTATGATAAAAATTATGGATTGTCAATTTTTTAATTGCGAAAAATATTTGTTTTCCAGATGTAAGAGCAAGGATAATAACACTCTGATATTTGAGTTTTTCCTTTAATTTATTTCTTGAAATAATTTTTATATATAACGTTGGAAATATTTTTGAGAATAAAAATTATATTATCGTGGAGGATAAAATAAAATCAATGAAACTAATAATTTTCAAGTAGTTTAAACGTAATTATTATACCAAAAGGAAATTTTTATTCGTTACTGTAACCCATTCATGAATGTTTCTGAATTAAAATGTAAATATAAACAGGAATGAAATATTGCTTGCAATATTCAACGACTGTATTGATAGATTAACACTTTACAGGTCTTCGGGATAAGGATGGAAAGCAGCCGCAAAAGGAACTGTTAAAAGAACGGTTCGACGCCGATGAATTATTCCTATCAAAAATTCATAAGCGATAAATTGGATATTGGATTCACTCGCGAATCTATTAACCGTGCTCGATCCTCAATTGCTTTTCAATGAAAAAGACTGTATAATACAATATAAATATCCTTTAAAGAAGTAATCGAAAACTTTTTTTAAGCACAAATTTTCCCCCTATCTTCGAGAATAATAATTTCTTTTTTATTAAAAATCTTCTAATTCCATTATTTTTCCATTTTCCCCCCTTATATACGAATAATTAGAAATATTCTATAGAAAACTATTTATTTTCGAAATAAATAAAATATCCATCGAGAAAATTTATTCAAAGATAATAATACGAAATAATCCCACGACAAGTGTAATAATAATAAATGTCGGCCACAAACAACCAACCGGATGCATCTGTATAATTTACAGATCCCACCGAATCCCAGGGATACGTACTTACAATTTCATCATAGACGTAACAACCGACCGCATCTCCCTTTATTTGCAAGTCTTAAGATTCTTAAGAAAATTTTCCTCTCGGAATGCACGGAGAGGCCGACTGAAAACGTCGACGCCGAATTTTACTTTCAGATGCCTCATGCTAATACGTTTAGGTAAATTGCTCGCCAGATTACAAGGAAGCCTCCA